GCCATTTCTTTATAGCACTGACTGCAGTTTGTCTTTATGCATATACTTTTGTGATGCTTTGTCTACTAACTGTATTAGTCTGTTCTCATGCTGCTAATAAAGGCATGCCTGAGACTGGGTAATTTATAAAGGAGAGAGGTTTAATGGACTCACAGTGCCACATGACTGGGGAGGCCTCACAATTATGGGAGAAGACAAATGAGGAGCACAGGGCATATCTTAGGTGGTGGCAGGCAAGAGAGCATGTGCGGGGGAACTCCCCTTTACAAAACCATCAGATCTCATGAGACTTACTAACTGTTATGAGAACAGCACAGGAAAGACCTGCTCCCATGACTCAATTACCTCCCATCGGATCCCTCCCATGACACGTGGAAATTATGGGAGCTACAATCCAAGATAAGATTTGGGTGGGGACACAGCCAAACCATATCACTGACTGGTTCCCCACCAGACTGTAAGATCAAGGGAGTCAGGGAGTGAACATATCTCTTAGATCATCTTAAGAGACTCCTCTGGGCTCTCCAAACCCTGCTTTCCTTTCCTTAGTGGGTCCATTCCTTTATTCTAGACAATAGGATATTAGTAAAAATAACATATATATTTCCATATCTGGCTCATGAAAACCTCTCATCAAACCCTCCATACTCCCTTCTTCCCCCATCAATGTAGCTTTAAATGAGGAGAAATCCAGGGTTGTAAATCATAAGGTGGAAGAGGCCTGGATCCCTGAAACACCATGTGGAACAGGCCACCCAAGAGAGCCCTGACCAAAAATATCTCTGTTGGACTATGTTATTATGTGAAGCCACTGAGATTTAGGGAACATTTGTTTCAGCAGTCAGCCTCCCTTGACCAAATCCTCTGTGTCCCCAGCACAGACCCTGACATGCAACAGGCACTCAAAATGACTTATTAAATGACTAGAGGACATTGAACTTCCCCAGGCAAGACGTGCTTCTGTGGGAATTTTCAACTCTTCCCCCACTGAGTAAGTCATACCCCACTGCACTAGCCAGGCCTTTCTGACTGTGTCGAGAGATAGAACTTTGAAAGCACAAAGGAAAGGAAGAAATATTATTGCTAATTCTATGTGTTTTGTTGCAGGTTTTTTTTTTTTTTTTTTTTTTTTGGTAAATCACACAGCTCAGTCCTTATGTCCAACATTTTCCTTGGTAATCATCATTTTCTCATTCTCAGGGAGTGGCTGGATATCACGACCAAAGAGTGTAATACAAAAAATAAGTCCCCCCAGTTTATTTCCCTTACCAACTTACTTATTTTCTATCTGTATTTGAGCTCAAAATGTGACACCCCTCTTTTTTCCCCTCACTGTTTTATTCTGCCTATTTCTTAACTATCTCATTGAAAAGCACATTATCAAGAGAATTCTTGGAGGTAAAATTGGAATCTTGGAATGTTTATTGTTCTCTTTCTGGCTCTCAGAGGACATATAAGTAATAAGTTGCCACTATTCTGTAGCCCCAAATCAGGGGCAACTCCTGCTGGCCTGGAATTGTGTTGTAAGGAAATTGACTTATCGTGAGTGCTAATTTAGGGGGTTCCTGGAAACACTGGATGGTAGTGACTACCAGAAGAGCAACAATGCCCTGTGCCTGCACGTGCATTTTAAGGACCAGTCTAACAGAAAAACGTGAAGATACTATATTCACTTTCAGGAACTTTTTATTCTTTGGTGACTCCTACTTCCTGCTGTTACTTCAAGTCTTTGCTTATAGCATTCTATCAACAGATAGTGAACGATTTTCAAATATTTTTAAGCTTGCAAATTCCACAGACTTTAAAATAGACATTTCTCATTAAGAAGTGTGATACCTGATTTTGGTGAAAGTAGAACATCCCTGGGAAAATGCCATGTAATGATTTTCAGCTACTCCAAGGGGTGAGTGGGGTCTCCCTTCCTAATTTTCAGATACTTCCATCATAAGGCCACTCATTCTTAGCTCTGTGTTTACCCCCATGGAATTCCTTTCCCATGGGACAGAAGCTCAGAGCTTGCTAGCCACAACCCTGTTTCTTGAGCTAAAATGTGATATTCTGGTTTATTTAATTTTTAGGGACGTGTAAGTTTTATTTCAGGTAAAATAGAGACTTAAAAACAGTCAAGTTACAACAGGAAATGAGGTCCTTACTGCCACTGCCTACCTTTCGCTAATGGCTCGACTGTGATGATTTCACTGCTGTTGCCTCTTCCAGCTGAAGTCACAGCCACCACCCAGACGCTGTACTGACGATTCCTACTCAGGTTGGGAATTCTGTAGGAAAATGAGTCGGGAGAGGCCTCAAACTCGCTGATCACCTGTGAAAGGAGACATAAGTGTTCCCACATTCAAAGAAGCATGTGGCAAAAATGGATTTCCCGAGGGAATGGTCATAAACATATTAAATATCATAACAAACAAAACTCACAACTCACTCCCCTCTAAAAGGCTGGCTTTGCAATATAAAATATAACTGGTGAGTTTAACTGAGCCACCATCTACATTTTCCTCTGTAGCAGCTTTGACGGCCACCAATAAATAATTTATCCCTTTACATTACAGGCCACAGCACTTCTATATTTGGCTGAGATGGAGTTAGAAGAACCAGATTTACCCTCCTACCTGAGACAACTGAGGAACACACACCACATATAAAACAATGGTTCTAAAAGCATTGCACATCAGGTAATAAATGACAGTGATCTCTGAACAATGGGAAACAAAAGAAGAAAACCCCACAATGGCAGAGTTTTTGCATTTTTTAGGGCAATGTGAATTTTATTTCTGATAAAATAGAGAGTTCTGCCTCCTCAACTCAGGAGCCTGGCAGCCTTTCCAAGCTGAGGAGGCAGAGCTGAGAGCCTGAAGGAAGCTAGAGTTCACAAGGAAGAGCACTGGAAAGAGAGCTACACACAAAGGACAAGCTCTGGAGATTGAAGAGGGTCTGACTTGGGTATTCAGCTGAGCAGATCCATGGATGTGTGTGAGGAAACTACCTGAGGCCAGGGAAAGAACCACCTGAAAGAACTGGAGGTCACGGTGCCTGACACTCACACAGGGCTGGGAGTAGTGGCTGTTCCCACCAGTTGGGTTGGAAAACATCAAGATTCATCATGCTTTGGGTATAGTGCATAAGGGTCTTACCACAAAGGGGAAATAATTAGCCCCAGACTGAATACCACTCTAGTCTTTCCTAATTATTCTTAAAAGCAAGACTTAGAGAGAGCAAATTATTCCCAAGTAACTTAACTACACCCAAGAATAAAGGTCAAGAATATTTATAGAATTTATAGAAATTGAAACATCCAGTACTCCAAAAGGTAAAGTTCACAAAGTTTAACACCTAATAAAATATTTTCACATACAAATAGCCCAAATATCTGTCAACTGATGACTGGATAAACAGAATATGTCATAGTGATACCATGGAGTCTATACTAGTCTGTTTTCACGCTGCTGATAAAGACATACCCGAGACTAGTTGATTTATAAAGAAAAATAGGTTTAATGGACTCACAGTTCCACGTGGCTGGGGAGGCCTCACAATCACAGCAGAAGGTGAAAGGCATGTCTTACATGGCGACAGGCAAGCAAGAATAAGGCCAAGCAAAAGGGGTTCCCCCTTGTAAAACCATTGTATCTCCTGAGACTTATTCACCACCACGAGAATGGTATAGAGGAAACTGCCCTCATGATTCAGTTATCTCCCACTGGGTCTCTCCCACAACACATGGGAATTATGGGAGCTATAATTAAAGATGAGATTTGGGTAGGGACATGGAGCCAAGCCAAATCAGAGTGTTATGAGATAATAGAAAAGAATGAAGTACTGATAAATGCTATAACTTGGATAAATCTTGAAAACATTATGCTAAGTGAAAGGAGCCAATTATAAGAAACCACACATTTATGATTCCCTTTATTTAAAATGTTCAGAATAGGCAGATTGATGGCAACATAAATTAGATTACTGGTTGTCAGGCGCAGAGTAGGGGAAGGGGAAAATTGGGAATGACTGCTAATGGGTGTGGATTTTCTTTTCAGGGTGATGAAAATGTTCTAAAATTAGATAGTGGTAAGGGTTGCATAACTCTGTGAATATACAAAGAGCCATTGAATTGTTGAATTTAAAAGTGATTGACATCTCAATAAAGCTGTCATAAAAATTTCCAGGAAAACATAATTCATAAAGAAGAAATCAATCAATCAATCAAAATTCACCATAATTGGCACAGACATTAGATTTATGCAAACAAGGGCAATAAAGTAGTTATAATTGTATTATAGCTGTATTATAACTGCATATGTTCAAAATTTTAAGTAGATATGATACAAAAAGACCTAAGTTAAACTTGAAATGAAACACAACGCATGAGATAAAAAATACATTGAACTTGATTAGCAGCAGAGTAGATATTGCAGAAGAAATGATTAGGGAACTTAAAGATGTGAAAGGAAAATAAATCTTGGGGCCCCCAAATCACTAAGCTAAAGGGAAAAGTCAAGCTGGGAACTGCTTAGGGCCAACTTGCCTCCCATTCTATTCAGTCATCCCTCTGCTCACTGAGATAAATGCATATCTGATTGCCTCCTTTGGAAGGCTAATCAGAAACTCAAAAGAATGTAAGCATTTGTCTCTCATCTACCTAGGACCTAGAAGCCCCCTTCCCACTTTAAGTTGTCCTGCCTTTGCTTCAAGTTGTCCTGCCTTTTCCAATGGAACCAATGTTAAAAAATTGATTGATGTCTCATGTCTTGCTAAAATATATAAAACCAAGCTGTGCCCGGACCACCTTGGGCACATATTGTCAGGACCTCCTAAGGCTGTGTGTCATGGGCACGCATCCTTACTTTGGCAAAATAGACTTCCTAAATTGACTGAGACCTGTCTCAGATACTTGAGGTTCACAAAGACATATTAATAAATGACACATAGAAAACAGAATAAAAAAGTTAACAGGGCATTAGTGAGCTATGGAAAAATATCAGGATGCTTAACATACATGCAGTGAAGTCACTAAACGAGGCGAGAGAGACGGGACCAAAAAAAGGTTGTAAAAAATTGTGGTTGAAAAATTTCCAAATTTGATGAAAACTGTAGCCCATAGAGCCAAGATACTCAGTGAATTCTAGCCACAAGAATATTAAAAACAAAAACAAAAACAAAAACTATACCCAGGAGCATCATAATCACACTACTCAAGAGTTTTAGTTTCAGTGCTAGAGAGAAAATCTTAAAAGTAGCCAGAGAAAGTACATGTTATATAAAGGGGAACAAAGATAAGCATGGCAGCCAATTTCATTTGAAAAACAACCGAGGTAAGAAGACAGTGGAATGATTTCTTTCAAGTACTAAAAGAAAAAAATCAACCTAGAATTCTATATTCAACAAATATATTTCAAAATGAAATTGAATAAAGACTTTTTTCAGATACATAAGAAGCTGAAAGAATTAATCACCAGTAGACCTACATTACAAGAAATGTTAAAGAAAGTCCTTCTAGCAGAAGGAAAATAATACCAGATAGAGACATAAATATACACAAATAAGTAGAAAAAAGAGGTAATTATATAGATAAATATATATGATCTTTCTTATTTAAATATTATTAAAATATGGTTGATAGTTAAAAACAATACCAGTGTAATGTGGATATATAATATAAATAACAGTAAAATGTTTAACAATAGCACAAAGGTTGGGAGGACAAAATGGAAGTATATGATTATAAGTTTCTTATACTATATGCAAAGTGTGTAATACCACTTGAAAGTACACTACAATGTTAAAAGCATATGCTGTGAATCCTAAGGAAACTACTGAAATTACAAAATATAGCATAAAATAAAGCTAATGAACTAATAAGATAAATAAAATGGAATTACAAAAAGAAATCCAAAGGAGTCAGAAAAAGAGTGACAAGGGCAACAAGTAGCACAACAGCAGCAGAACTCAAATAGTACTACCACGGATTTAAACATAAACATATTAATAATAATTTTAAGTGCAAATGATCTAAATATATTAAAGGCAAAGATTGTCAGACCTGATAGAAAAGCAATATCCAACTATATGCTGCTTACAAGAAACGTGCTTGAAATATAAAACACAAATAGGTTAAAAATAAAGGAATGGAAGTGATATCCTATGATAACACTAACCACAAGAAATATGGAGTGGCTATAGTAATAAGAGATAAAATAGATTTAAGAGCAAAGGATATTACCAGTAAGAAAGAGAGAAATTTCATAATGAGAACAGGGGTCAGTTCATCAAGAGAACATAACAATTCTAAACATTTATTCACCTAATATTCACCAATTATTCAAAGATATGAAGCTCGGTTATTAGGTGAAAAAATGTTTAGGATTTATTATTACATGAAACAAAACTAATGGAACTTCAAGGAGACATAGACCTAGATAGGTCAGAATTGTTCCTTAAAAAGCCATGTGGAGTAGGTAGAGCTGGATCCATTTTATAGATCAGGAAACTGAGGTTCAGAGACAGCAAGTGACTCACTGATGTCACAAGGCCAGACAAGTGCAAAACAATGGTTCCAGCTCAGGGCCTCTGGTCCCAAGTCTGGTGCTGTTTCCTCACACTTTATGCTGTCAATTATAAGTGACCAAAACAAGAAGGGCTTACTTTTACCCTTGCTAGCTTTTCAATAAACCTTACGTGCTTCCGCAGGCTGCATAAGTTACAATACCAGCTATGCAGTTAAACAACGGATTTAAATTTTCACTATATCTCTTAATTGTCATACAATCTCATGCTTCCTCAACAAAACATAATGTCAGATTATTACTTATTGTCAAAATTTTAATTTGTGGGTACACAGTGTCAGATGATTTGGAGAGACTCTTGCATGGATTCCTTAGACACATGCCTATAATCTAGCATGCATGTGCATGTGTATGCACTCATTTACACCTCACCTCCACCCTCCTCCCACTACAACACTCCAGTCATGTCTTAGAGTATTATGGGAAAATCAGTCCCTCTAGGAGTTCAGAGGGAATTTGGCCTGTTTCCTGATAAACCACAGAGACAATCCTGAGACTGTATGCACTTGCACTGTATGATTCTCCAAGGCTATGTCATTGCCAAATTAATTTTACAAAGCTTAATGATGTGCAAATTATAAACACTGCTCTACTGAACATTAAGCATCAGGAAAGCATTAAGATATATTTATAAAATAAAGATCTTTTTCTATATAGACAACATAGCTTTTAGTTGAAACTCCATACTTATCCTGTTGACAAAGTAAAATTTGTTCTTGATTACCTCCAAAACACACATTTTAATGTT